GGAGGAGGAGGAGGAGGAGCAGGAGGAGCACACCACACCAGAGCGCGCGCCAACCACCCACAGGGGTGGGTGCTATCTTATTACTGCTTTAACTCTGAGCTCCCCCATCTCCTCACAGCCATTCACATCCTCACACTCACACAAACCATTATTATTTATTTTTTGGTAAAAATATTACAACATTCAAAATATTTTTTTTCGATAAATATTATAATGGTTTGTTTGTATGTTATGTGAGAGGGTGGGGCGTGAGGCGATCTTTATATCCAGCGCCCACTTTTGCCACTTTTCAGAGTCTAAAAATCGAAGCTCCCACCTACATGTATTTCCAAGCAGCGAAAATAAAATAACACATGTGTTACTACCCGGATGACCCTCCCCCCCCTCTCTCTCTCTCTCTCTCTCTCTCTCTCTCTCTCTCTCTCTTCCCCCCCCCCATTTCCCTAACCATCTTCCAAAATCACCAGAACGCCCTCTTGTGGGCGACATCGCCCCGATTGGCAAGCACTGGTCTAAGGTACTAACTGTGTTTGGAACGGGGCGCTAAACTTCTCAACAAATGACAAAACTTACGTTTCCAGTGTGTTGATGCCACAGGCTTTGGCCTTGGTCAGCCTGTCCTCCCAATACTCCGGCACAACCCGGAAGTAATGAATGGCAGCACTGAAGATTCGGAGCGACTTCCCGTCCAATGAGAACTCTCTGTTGGAGTACGTCAGCTTCGGCGATGATGTCATTTTCGTGACGTTGTTCGTAACTGTTGTGAAGACCTGTTGAAAATAAAGGAAATACAATAAGATAATATAAGATAAGATAAGGTAAGGTAATTCTTTAATATCTCAGAGGGGAATTTTTCTTGGCTGTACTGGACCGTAAAAACACAAGCAGGTATAATTTAAAAAAAATTAAATTATATATTATTGTCATTAAAATTCAATATGAAAAGAGAAGTAAAGCTGACAAAATCTCCTTCAGACCAAACAGTCTTTTTGTTTTAGAACGCGTTTTGTGGCACTTGCAGCACAATTAGGTCATATTAGAGCCGAAAAAAGAGGTGTTACAAGAGAGTAACAAACACATACAAATGGAGGGGAAATAAGGACAATAGATGTTTGACATGAAAGAAGGAGCAAACCACACCAAAGCATACACGTACCAACCACCTACCAAATATCATTAAACCTATCAAGAATCCTAAAGTCAATGTGGTTATGTTTGTAACTTATAGAAATAATACTGACGGTCGCACTAACGTCTGTGATGAAGATTTGTGTTTGTCAACCTTATCAAATTATTATAGCAAACTTCGAATTTTTCAACATTATTACCATCCCCTTTTGTCAATAAGATTGCTTTGGATTTCGCCAACTGCTTTTGGACTATCTTGTTAAAGACAACAGTTTAAAAAACCCCGCCTCAAATTTAAACAAAAAATAAAATCACGTCAGCCACGATTCGGTTTCAACAGAGGGTCTAGATTTATACTTATAAACTCTCTGTTTTCGGTTTGGTAATAACAGTTTCACGGCGCTCCAAACTGTGAAAATCATATAACGAGCGCCAAGACATGATTAACATCCAGCAGGCTCGCAGATTTTTTTAAAAAGCGTCTTTGAACTTCACCTGTCGTTAGCAATCGAAACAAACTAAATATATACATTTCAACCTCGCCCGTTTCTTCACTACCTACGGCAACTTGAGTAAACTTTAGAGAACCCATACCCACATTTTAACAGCTAGTTTGTAAAATGCAAAGTAGGACTCACGGGGTAAAACAAAATCCAGATTAGAATGACTCGTCTTATTCGGGTAAAACAAATCCTTAGAAGGACACGCCTTATTCGGGTAAAACAAATCCTTAGAATGATAGGCCTCCGTCTTATTCGGGTAAAACGATATCCACATTAGAATAATATGATGTCTTTTTCGAAGTGTTCCAAATAAACGTAAGTGATAACCTGTTTAAAAAAACCGATGTTTACGAGCTCAATGAAACAGACGTTTTCATCTCTTTACAGAAACACTGTCGGAGCTGTTTCATACCCAGTGCACACTGTCAAACGAATTCATGTTTTTTGTGTCGGGGGACAACCAGACTTTCCACCATGGCTCAGGCAAAAGCTGCCATATTAGGACAATTAAACCGTTTCAACTAGCGAACTTGAAAAACAGACGAATTCGAATTTTGAAGTTCACAGCTGATTTAGCTGGATTCGGTCATAAATATCGGGCCAAAATAGTAGCTTTTGCCCCATGCAGCCATGAAGGAAAATTTGGCCGGCTCCGACTTCAATCAATAATTAATGCATCGAACATGCAGTGTGCTCGAGGTATTAGTCTCATCTGTATTCGCAGTTATCCGGCTCAGCCTCTCAGCAGTGTTATGGGAAAAGTTAATTTTTTGGGGGGTGCGAGTAGAAGTCTGGCCTGTTCGCGTTCACTCACACAAAGACGTACATTGTATTCACTGCATCGGGGATGTAACAGGTGTCACTGAACATTTTAATACCAGGAAGCGAATACATGCTCGCTCGCTATTGCATAATATACCTGGTACTGGTGACGGTTTATTGGTTTATTGGTTGGTTGGTTGATTGGTTGGTTGGTTGGTTGGTCGGTTGTAGTTAGTCAATTAGTTAGTAAGTTGGTAGGTAAATATGTAAGTTAGTAAGTTTGTTTGTTTGTAGGTTGGTTGGTTGGTAGGTAGGTAGGTAGGTAGGTAGGTAGGTAGGTAGGTTGGTTGGTTGGTTGGTTGGTTGGTTGGTTGTTTGGTTGGCTTGTTGGTTGGCTGTTTTTGGGGGGTAAGGTGGGGTGGGGAGATTGGATGCAAGTGAGAATGCGTATGCCTCTGTGCGCATTAGTGTGCTCGTTTATGTATCACATGCCTGCGCGCCTGCATACGCGCACAAGTACATGTATTTCTTTACTGGTGTTCATGAGCATGAAAGCCAACGTGCTCCTCTGTACAAGTAAATTTATATTTTACATTACAGCAATAAAATATACTTAGATGTCAGCTACAAAGTATGTTTTGTTTTAATGCCATAGCCTATGAGTGGTGAGTAACTACAGACATTGGTGCACGAGAAAGAGAGAGAGAGAGAGAGAGAGAGAGAGA